TGCCACTGTTTTTCATAATTTTCAAGGAAGGCTAGTAATAATATTAAAATCTGGATATTTCCAGGGATAAGGCCTTGAAACATTGCTGAGTAGGTTATTTTTATGTGTTTTCCAGGAAAGAAGTGACTGGTTCTTAGGAAGGTAGAAAAACAGTTCACGCAGTGAGCAAACTTTTTCTTCTCAGAGTTGTTCTAGTTCCTTCTACTTCTGCTTGTGCTATCATGCACATTAATATCAAAGATCTTCTCGAATAATGATAAATAATATACCTCAAGAATTATAGCACACATGTTTTAATAGGTTAAAAGTATCTGGTTGGTATAGATCTGGCACCGATGTCCAGGGCTTTTGCCCTCTAATTAAATCAACAAAAGGAATTCTAGAGGGATCAGGCAAGTTTCATGCAGCCTGAAAGCATGGTATATGCCCAGAAAATGCTGAAGGACAGAGATTAAAATAGTGTCTGCCATTTGCAGTGGGTTAAAGCACATACAGACTCGAAACCACCTGGCTGAAACGGCCTTCAGCTGCAGTGAGTGTTTGCCACCTTCCAGCAGTCTGTGGAACCACAGTGAGACTCAGCGCAGGAACATGTTCACACTTTTCTGTGTGAAATTGGGTTTCTGCTCATATCTGAGGCTAGAACCATTCTCACTGGCATGCCTGATGGCTGGGCTGGCTCGCTTTCCTTCATGCAACTTTCAAATCTTGTTCCTTTCTGCTATACGCTTTTAGATATAAATACAAATCCCGCCCCCCTGCCCAATCCAAAATCGTGTTCATGTAAGGAGCATAGTTGCATTTTCATAGTCCCATCAGCCTGTGTTTCTCCTAGGAGACCGTTTCTGATCATGTGTGTGTGGAGCCTATAAGATTAATGAGGTTGTATAAATCACTTCAGTTTCATATGTCAGCAAACCTGCTGTGCAAAACGATATAAAATGCCTTGGGTTGTAGTGCTGAGCTGGTCTTTCGACGGCTGCACCCACGTTGCTGGGAGCCTGCAAGCACCCTGCCATCCACTGTGGGTTACAAGATGCGTTCGCAACTGCTCCAATCTGCCCAAACGGGCAGATCCCCTGTGGCAACAGAGGAGATGCTGCAGAGCCTAGAGAATGACTCCCCATGCCCTGCTCGAAGCTAGCTCACATCCGAGGTGTTTACAGGTGGAGAATAGGGGTCCTTCATCCCGGCTGGGTGCATTGCTCAGTACGCCATGCTGCCTGCTACTACAGACTGCTGGGTGGGCATGGAGATTGTACCTCCTAAGTGTGCAAGGTCTTTTCCAGCTTATTTTTCCCCTTCTAATTTCAGCAAGGGAAAACATCTCTGGATGTCGCTGCCCGAGGCAATCACATCAACTTGGCAGACATGATTATCAAAGCCGATCGGTTTTACAAATGGGAAAAGGTGAGCAGCTTACACCACCATCCCCTGCGCTTCCCAGGGCAGATGTAGCTTTATCCTCTCCACTGAGACTCCACATTACCAGCTGTCAAAAGGAAAAGAAATGCAGGACATCCTGTGACAGCCTGACCTCTACTTTCATCACCTTACTTAAGAAAAACAAAAGTCCTCACCATGCCAACATCATCTACTTAAGGCTTTCCTTATTTAAAAAAGGCTCTGTTGTTAAAAACCTTAGGCTGCCTGGAGGGAACAGGGGTTTTCAAAGATTTTTTGGCAGCTGTTCCCAAAGCCCTGTAGAAGGGACTGGGGTAGCATGAGTTCCTTTTCCCAGAAGGAGAAACTGAAGCACTGAGCAGGAAAATGCTTGGCCCAAGGTCACCAAATGGGATGTGGGGAGTTTTTCAACAGTGGAAGGGAGACGTCTCCTGTGAGCAGTGATCAGTTCTTGTCGGAGTCATACAACCGACTTCCCTCTCAAACTTCCCTGCAGCTGGGGCTGTTCCTCCAGTGTGGCCCAGCAGCCTCTCTCCTCCCATGGCCCCGTGTGCAAGACGCAGCTGCTCAGCCCCAGTCCCCGTCTGAAACCCTGCCTTACCCCAAACCTGCGCCCAAACCAATCCGAGCAGAGGGCGTGCTGAAAGTACAGCCAACCACCGCATCCATTGCGTCTTCGCAAGACTTTGGGCATCCTCCCATACCAGGAAAGACAGTGCTCTGGCAGGGAAAGAAAAGGAAGGAAAGGAGGACATACACCTATGGCTCAGGCGCAGGTTCAGGAGTAATGCTGTGTGTATCAGGCTCTTGCATGGGCTTCCTGCGCAGCCCTATGGAAAGTCGTTTAGCCTCTTTGCAGTCTGGCATGCAAAGGGGGCTGAGCAGCTGCGCCTGTGTTGCAGCGGGGCAAGGAGATTTAATTAAATGATTCTGCATACAAGCCCTTGATAAAAGGCACTGTAGAAATGCCAATTGCGATCTGCATGGGCTTCCACAGCAAAGCTGCTATTAACATGCATGATTAGAACAGAGTGAAGGAAGAAAATAAAGAGAATAAAATGTGCTGTGCCAGAATGAACTTGACCTGCAGACCTGAGGATGTGGGAGGCTGCAGAGTGACAGGTACACCTGAAACTCCTGTTCTGGCTTTGCAGGACAATCTGAACAGCGACTCCGACTCCTGGGTGGCAAAGCACTTGACCTTTAAGCAAGATCACAGGCTGGAAACACAGCACATTCGCTCAGTCATGTGGAGATTAGCTACTAAGTACCTCAAACCTGGGGAATGGAAGAAGCTGGCACATTACTGGAAATTCACTGATGCCCACATTAGGGCCATTGAGCATCAATGGACAGGTATAAAACACTGCCCAGATATTTTCCTTCCTTCACTTGGACTGTGTTCCTAGGAGATAAGGCTGCAGTAATAGCAAAGCACGAAGAAAACCAGCTGGCTTATTTGAAACAACTAGAAGATTAGGTTAAAAATCCTGTATTTAATTAATGTGGAGGTATCTACATGCTGGAATTTGTCTAGGAGTAAAGCACACAAGCATGGGGGTTAGTGGTCCATTGCTTGCAGCTTTTGAGGTACTGCCAGACCTGCTAGTCCTTGCTACAGAAATTAAATAAAAAATTCTTTTTCTCTAGGACAGAAGAAACTTGCTGGTTTTATTTTTTTTCTTTTAAGGAGCTGAACTAAGACGACAGTGGAGTCCCATTTAGAATTTAAGAGATATGTTAGCAGAAGCAGGGTCTGAGTTTCAGCAGCAGATCCCCACTGGTTCGGTTACTGTAAGGATTCCTGTAGTTTGCGCAACGCGAGCAAGGGGCTAAGCTATGCTATATTGCCATGAAAGGTCATCTGACAAGCCCAAGCTCATCCATGGCCCACTCCGTTAAGTTTAACGTTACTCTAGTAATCACATCACAACTAGGAATTAAGCTAAACCATACTTCAGAACAGCCTAGTAAAATCCAAAGAGGAGGGAGGGGTGTCCAAACCCACCAGTTCAGAAATCCGCTCTGGTCAGGGCTCTGCGCTCTGAAGTGCAGGATTTCACTGAGGTTTGATCTTGCCAGGTACTAAAAGCTACAGGGAGCACGGACACAGAATGTTGCTTATCTGGCTCCATGGCGTGATCACGGCAGGAGAAAATCCAATCAAGGGATTGTACGAAGGCCTTGTGGGGATCGGGAGAAGAGATTTAG